TGAAGTTTATGACGAATGATGTTGAGTATACCATTCTTGAAGATACCCAGCCCTTTTATGTGCATGAGGTCTCTATTTAAGATGATACCAATTATTACGTACCTCAAAAGGCTCATAAACCTCCACGTGCTCAATCACTAGTGACACCCTCTAGTGTTGTATAGGGCCCCATGCAGTCATTTGCACAGGGTCCTATATAATTATCAGTATAAGGTCCATCATAGGTTATCATTGAGCCAGGTGATTTCACTGCACATTCTGATAGAGATCCTTTCCAGTTTGTAGTGAGGCACGTAGTTCCACCTAGTAGAGGTAGGGGAGTATGAGGTAAAGGTAGAGTATTGACCCGTGAGCCGAGGAACTACGACACTTGAACACCTCCTCCACCTTATCTTTACACTTCTTCTTTGACTGTAGAGTCTGACTCTTCAGATGATGAAGTGATTGATATCCTTCATCGTTCACTCCCTTTACCACCTTCATATCCCTCTGGTTATGACTCACATCCTACCTTTCATAGTCATTAAATATCTGAAGGTGGATTAGTTGTTGATAGTAGCTCAGATGAGGGGGAGGACCTTCGACGTCAAACTACTAGCGGATAACCTTCTCCCCATCAGATACGTGGAATAGGAGTTGAGGATTCCAGTCAAAGAGCTTTTGATGCTCCCTCCACTAGTGATGATGATCTAATATGGACTAGTAAAAACCATATACCTCACCTATATAAGACATTTTGGCCGGCGCGATCTAAGTGTCCCTCTGTACCCCGTACTATAGGTGCACCACTGGGTCCTATGAGCCAGGATACAAAGGAGACCGCTATGGAGATAAAGGTCAAAAGTGCCCCTTATTACTTTTATCCTGTTGTAGAGAGCTTTATTGAGCATGGTCTAGTTCGTTCCACTTGGCCTGACGAACAAGCTCTATAACAAGCCTGAGTTTGGCGGACTGAATTCCCTCAAGATCTAGGAGGTGTAGGTTATATGAGATTAAATCAGTCCAATAATGCCAACATTCGTGTTGTCTCCCATTCTTATCCGGTTATTTCTCTTGCCGATGAAGAAGACCCAGATGATGGTGAGGATAGAGTCCTTGATGCTCCACAAGAGTTTGAAGATGGCGTTACTTTTACCATGGAAGAATTATGGAGGTAAACTTAGGCACTGAGTTAGATCCTAGGCCTATTTTTCATAGTGCCCTGCTGTCTGATTCAGAGGCTCAAGAATACATCAAGTTATTGTCAGAGTTTAGAGTCTATTTTACCTGGAACTACACTGAGGTGCCTGGTCTAAATCAAGATGTAGCAGTCCATAAGTTAGCCGTTGAGCCTGAGGCAGTCCCTGTTAAACAAGCACCTCGTATAATGAGGTTAGAGATAGAATAACAGGTGATCGTTGAGACCAAGAAGCTTATAGAAGCTAGTTTCATTCACGAAGACATGTACCCTACTTGGCTTGCTAATATTGTTCAAGTTTGAAAGAGGAGCGGACAAATTCGTGTCTGTATCGACTTTCGTGACTTGAATAAGGCATGTTATAAGGATGATTTTCCTCTTCCTATCCCCGAGCTTATGGTGGATATAGCATCATCTCATAGGATTTTATCATTCATGGATGGTTCATCTGATTATAATCAGATAAAGATGGACCCTGAGGATGAGAAGTTCACTTTATTTTGAATACCTATATGTGTATTTTTTTATAAGGTGATGCCCTTCTGCCTCAAGAATGTTTGGTCCACCTATCAACATGCTATGACTGTTATCTTCGATGAGATGATACACAAGCAAGTTGAATGCTATGTGGATGACTTGGTAGTCAAAAGCAAGCTCAGTGGAGATCACCTCCAAGATCTACGAATAGTTTTTGAATGCCTACACAAATTTGATCTAAAGATGAATCCTTTAAAATGTGCATTTAGAGTTAGTGCAAAAAAGTTCTTGGGGTTCATAGTTCACTACCGTGGCATTGAGATAGACCCTTCTATGATAAAAGTCATAGTAGATTTAAAACCGCCTAAAAGTCTTACCAGTTGCGGTCCTTTCTAGGTAAACTTGCTTTCTTGCAGAGATTTATCTCTAATATTTTTAGTGGGTGTCATCCCTTCTCTGCCCTAGTGAAGAAGGATGCCCGATTTCATTGGGATGAGCGTTGACAGGAGGCCTTTGAGAGTATAAACTGCTACTTGAAGAACCTACCTATTTTAGCTACATCGATCCCAAGTAAGCCGTTGATTCTCTAAACTAGGCCTTGGATGAGTCCTTAGGTGCATTTTTAGCTCAAAAGAATGAGAAAGAAAAGGAGAATGCCTTGTACTACCTCAGCAGGTGATTGATACCTGCAGAGCTTAAGTACCCAGCGATGGAAAAGCAATGTTTAGCTTTGATCTTCATGGTACAAAAGCTTCAGCATTATATGCTTTCATATAAAATTAACTTGATCTCTAGAGTCAACCTTGTTGAGTCTTGTAATTAGGTTGTTAAACCTAAGTGAATGTCCCAAGGCTACCAAGAGGGGGGGGGGGTGAATTGGTACTTTAAAAAAATTTAAGTCCCCTTTTGAAAATTCAAATAGCAACTATTCAAACACAAACATCCTCAAATCGTGGCCACCAATCAGTTTTGATGTTGTCCCGAGGGCCGATCGTGAGTAATAAAGGCGAGTGATCGGAGGCCACTCGGGCCAAATGCCGTACCTTAGCCAGAGGGGCCACACCAAGGCCCATAGAGTTCATCAGAACCCTATCTAATCTGACCCAAATTCTGCTGTTGCCCTCCTTATTATTGGTCCAAGTGAACCGCGGTCCCACGAAGCCTAAATCATGAAGATCATTGGCCGTCATGAACTCGAACATCTCCAGCACACCAGTTGAGGAAGTAACCCTCTTGCCGCCCATTTTCTCCTTTTGATTGAGGCAACAATTAAAATCGCCCCCAACTAGGACCGGGGAGTTCACATCCTAGTGAGAGCTCATAGTCTGCCAAAGATCCCTCTGCTGAAGGTAATCCTTATTCGCATACACCACCGCAACTGTCCACCTCTGACAGTTTGGAAGGGTCAAGTATCCCATAATAACTTGTTCATTAGCTACCAGCAATTCAAATTTAGTCAGGTCCTTGCGCCACATGGCAAGGATGCCACCGGACTTGCCCACGGACGGGAGGTGGAGGAAATCCCATTGCGTGCCAATAAGACGATCGACATCCGAACGATTTAAGTCTTCAATCTTTGTCTCCAACAAGCCAATGAAATGCACATCATTGTCACCCACAAGGTGACGCAGGTAGTTGCTCGTGCACTTCTTCCGAGCACCTCTGCAATTCCAGAACATTGTTGTAGACATTAATCCACCATAGGGGACGCGTCCCCGCCGTTGGAAGTGGTAGTGCCATCCTTCTTCCTCTTACGAGGAGCTTCCTCAATCGGCCCCAAGGCCTGTAGCTCCTTCTCAAAGTGCGCCTTAGATGCCCCAAGCTTTGGTCTAGCCGGCCTAGACTCTAACGATCTAACGCCCGCCGAGAAGAATAACGGCTCCGTAAGGCCCAGCTTCTTGTCACCCCGACTAGGCCGGAAATTCTCCTTCATGCGACAAACTTTAGGTTCTTTTATTTTAGCAAGGTCTACTTTCCTAGGAACATTCTCCCCCAAGGCGGACTTACCCACCGGCTGTTCCTTCTTCTGGGGCTTTCAACCCTTCCTTGGAGGGACGACATTCCAAGGCCCGTACATCCTTTCATCCTCCGTGAGCTCAGCCACCTTGGGATTGAGTTCTCCCACAGCAATGGTAGGGGTGGATGCCGAGGATGATTGCCCCGCATCACCCAAACTTCCCTTCCCCGACAGATTGCCCACACTCAGCGGGTTGGGGCTGCTGCACGGCGTGATCACCCCCACCGATTTTGGGGTGTTGGATGCTGCAGACGAACTAGCTCCCGCCAAAGGAGCCTTGCCATTGTTTACACCAACTTGGCCGCCTTCCGGTACCACACACCCGGTAGTCGCCCGAGATGGACAATGCTCCTTTCTATGTCCAATGCGCCCACACTCAAAGCAGGATAGGTCTAATCCCTCATACTCCACACGCTGGTGAAAGCGGCCCTTCCAACCGTTGATCCAGATGCCAGATTGGAGTTTCCTTGCAAGGTCAAGTTTGACACACACCCGGGCATATTCCCGTCGTCCAGTTCTTCCCGTCTGGGCATCAATCCACAACGGCTCTCCAATCATCGAAGCAATGCGAATAAGAGTTTCCTGATCCCAATATTGCAGTGGCAATTGCAGAAAGCGTATCCAAATCGGAGAAGTCAGCCCCTCGAGAGAGCTTGGGGAGAACTCAGGCGTCCATCTGTCCAAGCCAACGATGTTCCCACTGAAGAACCACGGTCCGCCACATAGCACAGCATCCCTAGCTTCGGCCGAGGTAAAGGTGCACGCAAAACAGTCCACACCAATGGTAGAGAGTTGAAACTCTCCAAACCGACCCCATTGTCGATGAATTTCATATTCCAGCACAAAAAATGGGAGTCGTCGTCCCAAGACTTTGCCAACCACCGCATTCTCCAATAGATTGATGCTCTGCTCAACCACCTCCAACCTAAGATCCACTGAAATGTCGTCGGCCAAGAATCGGCCCCTCTTGACCTTCTCCGCGACTTTAATGTGTTCCAGCCTCTTATAAATGTTGGATGATCCTGCCCGCGGGGTAGCAGCTACCATATTCCCAAAGATTCCCTTACTTGGCTCCATAGCGGCATTTCCGCAAACATCTTGCGTGCACTGTCCGGTTTCTTTGACATCGGCACCCGCTGGACTAGGGAGGTTCACACCTAAAATCGGGCTCGCCCCCAGTTCACTTCCAGCCATAATTTTGGTGGAATCCATATCCACATCATCCCCCGCCTTTGGTTCCGAACCCACCACTGGCGTTTGGAAAGCGGCAACCCTCCGAGCAGCCGCTGCTGCCTCCACACTTGCAGCAGCCGAAACCCTTTCAAGGGCTTACTCAAATTCCATAGCAGCATCCTCAAAAATAGGATTGGCTGAGACTTGCATCTCTTCCATTTGCATCGCATCAAGCACCTTAGCCATGCAGCCTTTCCGTGCTTCAGGGGTGAACCGGCCAGGGTCTCGCCCTTCGCCTCTAGCAGCGACGGAGCCAAGCCCATCCCACACCATCTGCTTGGCATAAGCCGCCCCGCTGCATGCGGTCCCCTGGCTTGCTCCCAGCTCTGCGGCAGTCTTGCCGCAGCGCACAGCTCCAGCCAAGGCATCACCCGAAACCGGGCCACCCTTGGCTCCACCCGTCGACGCCTCCACAGCTGCTCTCCCGCCCGAGACATTCTTGCCGCCCTGCTTGGCCGACCCCGCCTTACCCGGCGATTTCACCTCCACGTACCTTTTACCACCGCCGGACCCAATGCCCGACCGCCGCCTATCCCGTTCACTGCCACCGCCTGATCCTTCACCACCGCCCCTGCTAGAGCAGGTAGGAGACCGCCTGTCCCCCCCAGCCATACCCTAGACCTTCTCACACTAAAGCACTCTAGTGAGAGAAACAATCGGCAAGAAATGAAGAACCTCAAAGTTTTTGGGTTCCGGGCCAAAAATTTTGGGTTCCTTGAAAATAACTTGTATTACACAAGAGAAAGTATTAAAATATTACAGGAGGCCCAACGTCCTCATCTAAAATAGCCAAAAGCTCGACAGGAACGGAGCTTCTATCAGAAGTGAAGTTCCAAGAGAAAGAAGTAGCGATTGCCCAAGCCGCAAAGAAATGGGCAGCACGGATGTATTCCCTCGGGATATGCAAAAAGGTAACCTGGTGAAAAAGACGTAGCCAGTTGAGAGAATCGCCCAGTTCCTAATGACCCTGCCATCTGCTGCGATTCTGGAAATCATGCAGAAGACGAATAACACCACTGTTATCACCTTCAATAATAAGGCCAGCACAGTCAAACATCCAATCTTCTAAAGCTAAGTGAATGTGCTGGATGGCCTCCAGCTCCACAGTATTGCTGTCCCAATGCTGGAAAGGCCAACCACAAGCGTTAAGAGGAGACCCAGCCGAATTGCGAAATATAAGCCCCAGCCCCCCAGCCCCCGACTGAGGGAGAGCGCCGTCCAAATTAACCTTAATCCACTATGGAGGGGTCGGGGGGAAACCACGAGAGCGGTTGAAACAGTCCAGAAGACTAAAAAGTGTCCCAGTGCCCCGAAGAGGAAGCCGGCTTAATGGAGGGGATGGCGCCAAAAATAGCAGCCGCCATGGAGGTAGGAGTGCCATGCGAGCGGCCGTGTTTTTTGGCATTACGACCGCGCCAGCATTGGTAAACCGCATAGCAGTAAAAAAAAGGCCAAGCCCCATCCTATTTCTGAAAAGCGCGGAAGGCCATCAGCAGTTCAGTCAGAGAATTGAACGTTGGGAGACTGATCCCCCACGAAGACAGAATTTGCAAAGTGTTGCGAAGAGTTAGGCACCGAGCAGTCACATGATGTAAGTCTTCCACCATGTCACAGCCCCACGGGCATAGAGGGTCCGCCGGAATCCTCTGGGAACGCAGCCAGTCATTAGTGGGAAGGATATTTTTGTATATGCGCCACCAGAAAAGCTTCTCCCGAGGATGAAGACGGAAGCGGTAGATGGTCATAACCGGATCCGGCTCAGCCGGGAAAAGTTGAGCATAGGCCATGGACGTGATCGTTTGTCCCAGTGGGCGACAAATAAGCTCAGCCGAGTCAGGAATAGTAGGAGGGAGAATAGGGAGAGCCAGAATTCAAAGAGCCAAATCCTGACCAAAGAACTGAAACACCAGCACGGCGTCCCACTCGCCATCCTCAGTGAGAAAAAAACTGACAGTAGCATCCTCAGGTAGGTCCGTACTGAAGTACATCGACCATAAATGGAGAGGCTGATCCTCAATCCAAGTATGGAGGAAGAGGTTGATATCGGTACCAGGACCAACACGCTAGCGGATACAGCGTTGAAGTGTATGAGCCCCATCACAAATCAATTTCCATGCCGGCGAATCGGTCTTTGCAAGAGTAGCATCCCACGGAGAGGGGCCATACTTCTCACGGAGGCTTCGATTAAGAAGAGTGTCAGGATCATTGATGAAGCTCCACGCTAGCCGGGCCCGGAGAGGACCAGTCTAATTCCCGACCGCATAAAAACCCAAACCCCCGGAACTCTTAGGCTTGCACAGCTCATCCCAGGCCAGATAGTGTAACCCCCGAGCATCCGGGCTTTTGTCCCAAAGAAAACTGCGGGCCAGTTTCTCGATCGTATTAAGCACACCACGTGGGATAACCGAATGGGATGTATAATAGATCGAGATGGGAAGAAGAGCCGCATTAATAAGAGTAGTCCTGCCCGCAAGGGATAGGTGCCGGTTTCCCCAAGAAAGGGTCTTGGCAGACGCTTTTTGAATAACTTTGGCAAAGTCAGCAGAGGTGGACTTGGACATTTTGAGAGGGATGCCCAGGTATTCAAACTGGTCCACTCTCCGGAACCCCGCCATCTTAGGCAGCCTGGTCCTCTTCCAATACGGGGTACTTTTTCCAAAGAGAATTAAAGATTTTTCAGTGTTAAGCATCTGCCCCGTCCACGAACAGTACTTATGCAGGATTTGCGAGAGAAGCTTGAGGTTGGAAATTGAAGCTTCTGAAAAGAAAAGCACATCGTCAGCATAAAGAAGATGGGAAATGGGCCTACCAGAAGGGCAAAGAGACACCCCAAGGTGGGGGGCGTGATGCCGCATAGCCAACGAGAGAAGTTCCGAACAAAGAATATAAAGGTAAGGCGAGAGCGGGCATCCCTGCCGGAACCCACAGCCAGCCGAGATCCAGGATGACCGTTGTCCATTGACAAGAAGGGCAAAGCGAGGCAGCTCAACACAGCGGACCACCCAGTTAGCGAAACGTGGCAGGAAGCCCATAAGCCTGAGGACAGCATTGAGAGTGTCCCAACTCATGCGGTCATAGGCTTGTTCTTTATCAATTTTGAGGGCCATAAGTCCCGGAACCGAGGTGGAAGTTCGGAATTTGTTGATAACCTCCAACCCAAACAGACAATGCCCCGAAATGGACCGACCAGAAATAAAGGCAGCTTATTCCTCCGAAATAACACTACAGGAAAATCACCCACTTCCGGCGGCTTTTTCCGGCGGAATTTGAGCAATTTCCGGCGGTTTTTTAATTTTCCGGCGGTTTTCCGGCGGCTTTCGAGCCGCCGGAAAAAACGGCGTAGGAAATTTTCCTGTAGTGTAATATCCGGAAGAATGCTCTTAAGTCGATTGACAAGAGTTTTGGCCACCAACTTATAGATCGTTTGGCAAAGACTGATAGGCCGCAGCTTGTTGGGAGCAGTAGGATTAGGCACCTTTGGAAGAAGGACAACAAGAGTATCTTTCCAGTCAGCTTGCATGACCCCGGTCTTCAAATAGTCCAAACAGGCAGCAACCACCTGCTGACCAACAATGGGCCAAAACGCTTTGTAGAAAGAAGCTGTGATCCCGTCCAACCCCGGGGAGCGGTTCCTGCCCATACTGAAAGTGGCAACATGAATTTCCTCCTCAGAAATATCAGCAGCCAGAAGAGTAGACACTCTCCGGAGGGCCTCCACTTTATCATGAAGACATGGCCACCCATCCACAGAGATAGGTGCCGCCTGCCACTTACGGGAAAAGAAATGGGTGAGGATGGCAAGGATAGCCGAGCTGTCCTTCGAGACAGCGCCCTCCTCATCAGTCATCTCACGAATATGATTCCCCCGACAGCGGGAGGAAGCAACAGAGTGAAAATAATGGGTATTGGCATCCCCTTCCTCCAACCACCGAACCTTGGCGCGCTGTTGCCACCACGAGGTTAAACGCGCAAGTGTACAATTGAGCTCTCTAACTTTACGAAGCAGGTCCACCTCTTGCTCAGGAGAGAGTCCATCCGGCGAACAATCAGCTAATTGGAGAGCCGCAATGTCTAGCTCGAGAGAGCGTTGAAGCTGATGGAGCCCTTGGATTTTATTTCGGCTCCAGAAAAAAAGTTTCTAAAGAGCGCGACGACTTTTAGCCTGGAGCGCCTCAGCTGGGCCTCAAGACGGAACCCAGTTCCAACATTTAGTGAAGATACGCCCCGCAGCAGGATAGGAGAGCCACATATCCTCAAATCGAATCCATTCCGCTCGCCGCAAGCGAGTAAGCGGAGTAAGGGAGCAAAGCAGAGGACGGTGATCAGACACCAACCGCAACAGGTGGCGAACCTACAGCTCCTGATGCTCATCCAGAAGGGAGGAGGAGACAAGACATCTATAAAGGCGAGCCCAAATCTTATTGGTACCAACCTTGTTATTACTCCAAGTAAACTTGGGCCCCAAAAAGCCTGGGTCAACCAAGTCATTAGAACGCATAAATTCCTCCATATCCATAGAGGCAGTGGACGGTCTAAAAGCCCCCCCCCCCTCCCCCTTTTATCGTCTTGGGAGAGGATACAGTTAAAGTCCCCAATGGCAATAAGAGGGAGCTCAGCATCCCGACAGGAATTGATCCCTTCCCAAAGAGACCTACGGACGTGCAAATACTTATCAGCATACACCACGGCAATATTCCAGCAGGGGAGATCAGAGAATTGCACCCGGCCAGCCACACACTGTTTAGAAGAGAGGAGAGGTTCAAAGGAAACACAAGCCCATTTCCAAATAAGCAGGATTCCACCATATTTGCCTTCAGAGGGTTGAAGGTGAAAATCCCACGCACACCCTACAATCTTGTCAATATCTTTACGAGACATAGACTCGACCTTAGTTTCCAACAAGGCAATAAAACTCAAATGAAATTCGCCAATAAGCTGGCCAAGATAATTCCCCGCCTCCTTCTTGCGGGCACCCCGACAATTCCAACAAAGGACAGAGGTCATGGTTCCATCACAGGGGACGCGACCCGGCCGCCGGGAGAAACAGAGAGGGAAGCAGCCGAGATCAAAGGCGGAGAGAGGGAGGGGGCAAGGACAGAGTCAGAAGAAGTAGAAGCTAGGGGGTGGCGGCAGAGGAGAATAGTGAGAATGACGGGAATGGGAGCCGTGCGCCCTTTTCCGCTTAGGTGCTGGGCCCCCCTGAGAAGGAGGCGGCAAGGGCCTAGGGGGAGGAAAGGACAGCTCGGATAAGACCCCATAATCCACTGGAATAAGAGGAACAGGAGAGAGATCCGCAGCAGGAGGGGGAGGATGGATAGGGGAAGCCTCTAAGGGTCCCACCAAAACACAACTCGGAGGGGGAAGGGGCGCAGAATGGGGATCTTCAATCATGACATCACTCCCACTAGGGGGAGGTGAGGTCGCGTCAAACGCAGGGATAGGCGTAGGGGGTTAAAAGCAGTCCCCAGGGGGCGGGCAGGGAGAGGGAGGCACAGGGGTACAGACCGCGGCATCGGCAGGGACGAGACGAGGCAGGATAGGGGGCAGATGTGACTTGGCCCGGGCCGTCACATCCGAACACCGAGAGCGGTTCCTCCTACGATGAAGCACAG